TAATATAATTACTAATGTAAATAATGTAAAAATAATTAAAGGTAGTGGGTTTATTATTCAGTTGGTATTCAGAGTGACTGTGGGCCAAAACAGAACATGGGATTCAGAGTCAGAATACAAATCTACTGTGTGACTTTGGTCATATCATCTCCCTTTTCTTGCTCAATAACTCCTTAATGCTAAGATGGGGGAAGGGGCGATAATAACTAACTCAGGAAGCTACAGGGATGGATCAAAGGCTGTAAAAGTGCCTTGCAGATGATGAAGCACTCTGAGCGATGGAATCAAAGAAGATCCAGTGTCCTAGTCGGTCACGGAAATCTCTCAGACTTCCTTTCTAGCACAGCAGTGGTGCCGTCAGTGCCGCTCGGCCCGCCGGTGTGTGGTGTTAGTTTATACTTCGGGAGTCCCTTGGAATGGAGGAGCCCATCGATTTAATTCGGAGTTTATGGCAGTGGTTTGCAGTCCCAGCTACTACCACTATTGGGATCGCTTGACTCATGCCAAACATCAACTCTTAAAAGGTGCTCATGGATTCTATCCCTTTTAGCCTGGATTCAATTCACATGAGAATCTGCTGGGTTCTTTGTTTTGGTTTGTTTGCACATCTGGCCCCAGTACAACTTTTTGACACTTCCAGTGCGAGGCGTCCACTAATTTTTTCAGCTATTGTGTGCAACTTCACACAAGTACGCATTTTTCAGGATGTTTGTAACTGGGTTTTTTTTCAAGTGTCAAAACTACCTTTCCTGAGGGTTCTACCTCAATCGGATTGTGCCCTCATGGATTTCAGGGTGTCAAGGGTCCACTGAAGTGGTCCAGTTGGTTGATAGTTTGAAATTAATACAGTTGTCCCTTGGTATCTGAGGGGGTTTGGGTCCAAGACCTTCTACAGATACCAAAATCTGCAGATGTTCAAGTCCCTTATATAAAATAATGTAGCATTTGCATATAACCTACACACATTCTTCCATATACTTTAAATCATCTCTAGATTACTTATAATACCTAATGCTATGTAAATAGTTGTTAAACTACATTGTTTAGGGAATAACGACAAGATGTACGGTTCAGTATAGATACAAATATTGTAGGCCTAACTATAAGGTACACATGAGCAACAATGTAACTTTTAAAAAATATTTTTGATCCCCAGTTGGTTCAATCTGTGGATACAGAACCCTCTGCACACATACCTGACTGTAGTATTTGAAAGTAAAGAGTGGTCAGATTGCCTCCACCTCCCTGGTATAGGTAAATCCTTAATAGTTATCATTTATTGTTCCAACTGAATTCCTTCAAAAGACAAGGTTGCCAAGTAAATGATAAGATAATGATACCAAGTAGGCCTCTGTTTCAACAAAGGTTTGGCATCTGTGGGCATATCAAGGCCCATCTCCTACCACTCTCACGCCCGAGATTGGTTCATGTCACACTGAAACCTCCCAATTCCAAATGAGCAACTCACAATCACTCTATATTTCTGGCCACCCGATTTGCACTGTTAATTTTATTTTAATCTTTCCTGCTACTTTAAAATCAAGAGGAGCACAGGACGGTAACAATTCAAACAATACAAGAAAGCACAAAGTTTAAAAAAAAGTCAATGTACTTTTCCTTCCTAATAAAGTCACTTATTATTTAATGGATTTGTATTTATCCTTTGTTCTTGTTTTTGGTCAATGAATTCTTTTTTTCTTTATGATTTAATGTTCTGTTGAATTCATTTTCTAGTATAGATATCTCATGTTCACTAATTGGAGGACTTAATATTGTTAAAATGTCCATACTACCCAAAGCAATCTACAGATTCAATGTAATCCCTATCAAAATTCCACTGGCATTTTTTTTCCAGAAATAGAAAAAAAAAATCCTAATATGTATTTGGAATCTCAAAGGACCCTAAACAGCAAATACACACTCACATACAGGATGAGGCAAAAGTAAGTTTACAGTTGTTCATTGTACAGTTGGAAAATAATACAATAATTAATAAATAATAATACAAGAATAAACTGTTTTCTGTACACACAGCTGTAGACCTACTTTTGCCAATCCTGTATTGCAAAGGTAGAGTGATCAAAACTGTATGATACTGGCATAAAGACAGGCATAGACTAATGGAACAGAATAGAGAGTCCAGAAATAAACTCTTTCATATATGGTCAAATGATCTTCAACGAGGGTGCCTAGGCTACACAATGGAGAAAGGACCGTCTCGTCAATAAATGCTGCTGGAAAACTGGATATCCACATGCAAAAGAATGAAGCTGGACCATTACCTTACACCCTATATAAAAATTAACTCAAAATAAAGACCTAATCCAGCCATTTTCAACCATTTTCATCTCATGGCACATGTAAACTAATTACTAAAATTCTGTGGCACATTAAAAAATATATGTTTTTGCCTATCTGACCAGAAAATGGATATAATTTTGATTCATTCCCACCAGACAACTATTGTTGTGCTGGCTGTTGTCATTTTTATTTGGCAATCTAAAGGGAAAGAGGTCAGTGCCCCTGGCCAAATAGGCAGGTCTGCCCCTTGTGGCACACCGGTCGAACATCGCTGACTGGACAGAAGACCTGGAACTATAAAACTCATAAAAAACACACACAGGGAAAACGCTACTCAACATTGGTTTGCCAATGATCTCTGGGGTCTGACAACAAAAGCAAAAATGGACAAGGGAACTACATCAAACTTAACACTTCATCAAAAGAAACAATCGACAGAGTGCAAAGTCAGTGCTGTTTTCCATAGAAGCTATACGATGTTACATTTCCACCGACAATGACAAGGGTTCCAATTTCTCTACACCCTCACCAACACTTGTTTTTTGTTTTTGTTTTTGATAATGGCCATCTCTTGGGTATGAGCTGGTATCGTGGTTTTGATTTTACATTTCCCTAATGACTAATGATGTTGAGCACTTTTTTACGTACTTACTGGCCGTTTATATATATTCCTTGGAGAAATGACTTTTCAAATCTTTTCCCTAATTTTTAATTGGGGTTTTCTTGTTTTTTCATTGTTGAGTTGTAAGAATTCTTTATTCTGGGTACAAGCCCATTATCAGATATATTATTTGCAACATTTTCTCTGAGTTTGCAGGTTCTCTTTTTGATGGTGACTTAGAATACAAAAGTTTTTAATTTTAATTAAGTCTGATTTATTTGTTTTTTATGATGTTACTTGTGCTTTCAGATATTTTATGTCTTCAGTGATTTATCTGAAAATCTTATTTGCTTACTAGAAACATATCTGTATTATTTTTAGTTTTCCTGATTTGGAATTATGAAACACTTGATTTAAAATGTCAATAATATATAGAGGAACTCAGAAATGTTGATCCTCATTGAGCTAATAAATACATTTCTGTGAACTTAGCCTCAGGAACTAGTTTAATAGAAGAAGTACATCCTATACCCCTAGAGGTCACTTCGCTGTCATCTGTGAGAGAGGGATGTTGGGAGCTGTCCAGTAACAGGGGAGGCTAAGTCAAGTCCATAGTGATACATTAGTAAGCAGCTATTGGGTGTTACAATTATGAAGCGTATTTAATGAAAATGTTTATGATGTCACATTGCCAGAAAAGAAACACAAGAGTGTGCCCATCATGATTAAAACTATGTTTGAAACATTTGCACTAGATGGAAGGCTATGCAAAATTATAGGTGGTTTTGTTTTCTTAAATTTTATTAATATTGATATTTTATCTTTACAATAAAAAATTAAGTAAAAAAATATGTATGACACTTCAAGTTGGGGGAAATGGTGACTGGTTAGATCCTGGGTATATGTTTATCCTTCTCTCACCCTATTTGTTAAACAGTGATTATTTTTTATTATCATGATCATTGGCATTAGACTTACAAACAGAAAAATAGTGTATTGTGTTTATTCACTAAGAATTTGAATAAAGATATTTTAATTTTCTTTACATTTTTATATCAAATCCATACACTAATGATAACATGGTTTTGGTATTAGAATTACTATTATTGTAATCAATATCAGCAATATAATTTACTAAGTGAAAGGTAGTGATGTTTATGGTGATATAATATTACTAATAGGGATCACAGTAACATTTTCACAGGCATCTCAAGAAAAAATTATTACAATAATTATTTTAATCCATCATCCCAGCTTTTGAAATAAATTTCAAATGAATCAAGGACTTAAGAGTTATTATTTTTAAGGAAGGAATGGAAAGAAATAAAAAGTTAGCACAATACAAAGTCACATGTAGTTTGCACACGCAAGATGAGACCACACTTCAAGCTGTTGTCCTCAGAGAGAGAATGCACAGCTGGCTGGGTCACAGTCTGGGTCTGGGATCCCCTGACTCTCTGGCCTTTGGCTTCACCTGAGTGACAGTGGCCTGGGGTACAACCAGCAACTGTGAGGTGACCCTCTTCTGTGGCCTGGAGTGTGTGTGATAGGGCAGCAGGCAGGGAAAGGCTGCAGGGAGGCCGAGCTCCTACAGCCAGCCCGTTCCCCCACCCGCTCCCGCTGACTTGGCCTTGGCCTGGCTTGGGAGAGGCAGAGGCGTCATTTTGTTGTCATATGTGGGAAGGCTATGAAAAGACAAACCCTGGTTGGCTCAAACATTTAAACAAGAATTACACTAGGAGCTTTTGTTCTCCCTCGGACGTGGTCAGAATTAATTTGGTGTTTCAAAGGAGGATTATTTTGTTATCGCTTTCGTTTTTGAATCTGAGTTACTTAATGCAAGGATGCAGAGGGAAATACAAAATAAAAACACACAGCTGAAGTCAATCAAATGGCATTGGAACATCCCCAGATCATTCTTTGGGACACCGTTTTGTTAGTGCTTGGGGGCGCTACTGACTCAGATTTGACATCCCAGCTGGAGCTGGACTCCCTGTGAAACGGTCCCAGCGATAGAAGTCAAGCAGTGGAGTGGGTCTGGGTATCTGAGAAACACACAGAGCTTAGGGACCTTACTCGTTTTCTTCTTTCTCCTCAGGTTTAATAGAGAGAACTTGCTTTCTGCAAACAATTGAAAAAGCTGCCCTTAGAAACTTTCTTCGGCCCTCATGGAGCAGCTGGAACTTGTACCGTGAGGCCCTTGATGGGACAAGAGCTCCCCAAGTGATCACCCAGAGCAGCTGTCGCCATGGCCAGCAAGAGGAAATCCACCACCCCGTGCATGATCCCCGTGAAGACCGTGGTGCTGCAGGACACCAGCGCAGAGGCCCCGCCCCCTGAGGCCTTGCCCGAAGGACCCCCACAGGATCTGCCCCCAGAAGTGCCTGCCACCAGCAGCGAGGCTCCCCAGACCTCCAGCAGCACCGACAGCGCCGCGCTGGCCAACGGGCATCGGAGCACTTTGGATGGCTATTCGTATTCCTGTAAATACTGCGATTTCAGATCCCAGGACATAACCCAGTTTGTGGGACACATGAACTCCAAGCACACAGACTTTAATAAAGACCCAATTTTTGTATGCACTGAGTGCAGTTTTCTGGCAAAAACTCCTGAGGGGCTTTCTCTGCACAATGCCAAGTGTCACTCAGGGGAAGCCAGCTTTGTGTGGAATGTGGCCAAGCCAGACAATCATGTCGTCGTGGAGCAGAGCGTCCCCGAGAGCACCAGCACTCCTGACCCCCTGGGCGAGCCCAGCGCTGACGGGACCGACGGACAAGCCGAAATCATCATCACCAAAACTCCAATCATGAAGATAATGAAAGGCAAAGCTGAAGCCAAAAAAATTCATACGCTCAAGGAAAACGTCCCCAGTCAGCCCACTGGTGAGGCCTTACCAAACACACCAGCTGGGGAAATAGATGTGAAAGAGGGGGACCACTCCTTTGTCAATGGGGCTGTTCCAGTGAGTCAGGCACCCACCAGCTCCGCCAAGCCTCCCCACACGGCCAACGGGCCCCTGCTAGGGACAGTGCCAGTTCTGCCGGCGGGTATAGCACAGTTCCTGTCCCTCCAGCAGCAGCCCCCCGCGCATGCGCAGCACCACACCCACCAGCCACTGCCCACGGCCAAGTCCCTTCCCAAAGTGATGATCCCCCTGAGCAGCATTCCCACGTACAATGCGGCCATGGACTCCAACAGCTTCCTGAAGAACTCTTTCCACAAGTTCCCCTACCCAACCAAAGCCGAGCTCTGCTACTTGACTGTGGTCACCAAGTATCCAGAGGAACAGCTCAAGATCTGGTTCACAGCCCAAAGGCTGAAACAAGGGATCAGCTGGTCCCCTGAAGAGATCGAGGATGCCCGGAAAAAGATGTTCAATACAGTCATTCAGTCTGTCCCTCAGCCCACAATCACCGTTCTCAATACTCCCCTGGTTGCCAGTGCCGGCAACGTCCAGCATCTCATCCAGGCTGCCCTCCCGGGTCATGTTGTGGGGCAGCCAGAGGGCGCAGCAGGGGGACTTCTGGTTACTCAGCCGCTGATGGCCAATGGGTTGCAGGCACCAAGCTCGTCTCTCCCTCTAGCAGTTACCTCCGTCCCCAAGCAGCCAACCGTTGCACCCATTAACACTGTCTGTTCAAATACGACGTCAGCGGTGAAGGTGGTCAACGCGGCCCAGTCGCTGCTCACAGCTTGCCCCAGCATAACTTCCCAGGCCTTCCTCGATGCCAGCATCTACAAAAATAAGAAATCTCATGAACAGCTGTCAGCTCTGAAAGGTAGCTTCTGTCGGAACCAGTTCCCGGGACAGAGCGAAGTTGAGCATCTGACCAAAGTGACCGGCCTCAGCACAAGGGAGGTGCGGAAATGGTTCAGTGACCGGAGGTACCACTGCCGGAACCTGAAGGGCTCCCGGGCCATGGTGCCCGGAGATCCCAGCTCCATCATCATTGACTCCATGCCAGAGGTGCCCTTCTCCCCAGTGTCTAAGGCTCCCGAGGTGACCTGTCTCCCGACGGCAGCCACGCTGGCTGCCCACCCTTGTGCCAAACGACAGTCCTGGCACCAGACCCCTGACTTCACACCAACCAAATACAAAGAGCGAGCCCCTGAGCAGCTCCGAGCCCTGGAGAGCAGTTTTGCACAAAACCCCCTTCCTCTTGACGAGGAACTGGACCGCCTGAGGACTGAAACCAAAATGACCCGGAGAGAGATTGACAGCTGGTTTTCTGAGAGAAGGAAAAAAGTGAATGCCGAGGAGACCACAAAGGCCGATGGGAGTGCCTGTCAGGAGGAGGAGGAGGCCGCTGAGGACGAGGGTGGAGCAGAGGAGTCCACCAGTGACCTGAGGGTCCTCGGGGAGAACGGCTCCCCAGAAGGGGCCAGCAGCCACACCTTGGCTGAACGCAAAGTCAGCCCCATCAAAATCAACCTCAAAAACCTGCGGGTCACTGAGGCCAACGGCAAGAGTGAGCTGCCCGGGCTGGTCGCCTGTGAGCCCGAAGACGACGGGTCGAACAAGCTGGCTGCGCAGCTGCCCGGCAAGGTGAGCTACAAGAAGACAGCACAGCAGCGGCACTTGCTGCGCCAGCTCTTTGTGCAGACGCAGTGGCCGAGCACCCAGGACTATGACAACATCATGGCCCAGACGGGCCTGCCGCGGCCGGAGGTGGTGCGCTGGTTCGGGGACAGCAGGTACGCCCTGAAGAACGGCCAGCTCAAGTGGTACGAAGACTACAAGCGGGGCAACTTCCCACCAGGGCTGCTGGTCATCGCCCCCGGCAACCGGGAGCTGCTGCAAGACTATTACGTGACACACAAAACACTGCATGAGGACGACCTGCAGAGCCTCTGTGACAAGACCCAGATGAGCCCCCAACAGGTCAAGCAGTGGTTTGCTGAGAAAATGGGCGAGGAGACGCGGGCCGTGGCAGACACAGGCAGCGAGGACCAGGGCTCCGGTGACCCTGCAGCAGTTCACAAAGGGCCAGGGGATACCTATTCGGAGGTGTCCGAGAACAGTGGGCCGTGGGAGCCTGGTGCCCCTGAGGCCAGCTCAGAGCCCTGTGACACGCCGAGTCCCCAGGCTGGACGTCAGCTGGGTAAGGAGCCCACAGGAGCCACGGTGGCCCTCTGTGGGGATGGGGAGGGGACGCCCAGGGGTGGGCACTGAACTTACTGCATGGGAGCATCTGCTGATTCAAAGGCTGCCCAGCTGTTTGGGGGCACCTGGCAGCAGACATCATCAGAGCCTAACATGGTAAAGGGTTGAGAGTTGTATTTTCATTTCATTTCATGTTTTGTTTTTAAACTTGTGCTGGGGAAGGAACATAGTGAGCCTACAAGGGTCCAAACTTTCCTACCATTTCTTAGCAATAGGGGAATAGGTTAGAATATCACCTGAGTCAGGCAGAACCACACCATTGGACAGGAGAGAGCCATAGGAGTTTTGAGGAAATTCAACTCAAACTGGTGAACAAAAAGGAAAGAGAGTCTTTACTTGTCCGTAGGTAACATTAAGTGTTTTTTTAATGATGAAAATCCTGACCAGCAACACTGAAAGGAAAAGAAACCAACAGAGACAAGAGGGAAGGGGGGGGCGGGGACAAGGAAGGGACAGGGAAAGTCAAGGAACATATAGCAAGGACTCATGGACAAAACCAAAGGGGAAGAGCTGAGGGAGGGAAGGAGGGGGAGGGAGCAAGGGAAAGTGGTGGGGGGTTGGCAGAGACAAATGTATTTGAAAAAATAAATTAAAAACCTAAAAAAGAAAGAAAGAAAGAAAATCCTGTAATTTGCATTTCAGTGGCTCTTCCTGATGAAGAAGTAATGCAAAATCATCTTCCCTCTTAGATGTCTATGGAATCAAAAGCTGGGTCACGGTCTTAGTACTTGACAGAAAACTTTACAAAATTATTTTATTAAAGGCAGTTTTCTTGAAGCCACAAACAAGTCACATATCAGGTGTTGATTCCAGGATCTTGGGCCCTGAGTTCCCAGCCTCTCCCTCCCTCCTCGTTAGAGGCCTCCTTCCAAGATGGCCAGGAGCCATGGAGCTTAGTTCCTCACAGGAGGCACTGGAAAGTGAGGAAGTGTCTGGATTCTCAGATGATCTGATTTGTGGGCCTCGAGAAGTTGGTTCCAGGACCTGGTACTTCTGGGCTTGACCTTGGTTTCCTCCAGGCCCCTGGGAGTGAGCGAGGGCCTCCCGGGAGTGTGCCAGGCACCGGGGCAGGTTTGGCCTCACAGGGCTGGGGGCCTTGGCACCTTTTCCTGCACCAGGCTTGCCGCCTGGGGCCGTCCACCTGGGCTTTGGCTCTGCCAGCAAAACAGCATAGATCGCTGGGAACTAGAACACAGTAGTTTTTTTTTTAAATTTTTTCCCTGGCTTTTTTAAGTTAAAATTTTACTAAACTGTATTCTTCGGCAGCTGGTAATAGGGTAGTGGTTACACAACATTGTCAATGTACTTAATGCCACTTAATGTACACTTAAAAATGGTGGGACTTATGTATGTTGTACCAAAATTTTAAAGAAAGCTAGCCTGGAATTGGGAGGATTGGGTTTGAATTGCGAGCACTTACACCCCTCAGTTACCAGAATGCCACCAGAACGCAAAACGCTGTGTCCTGGGTGGGACAGAGCAGGGGCCGTGCGGGTGGCCCTGCCCCGGTGGCAGCATCCTCCTTTATCCAACACAGATACCGGGGTGCAGGGAGGGCCTGTCTGTGCATCTGCACCTGACTTCTCACGGCCTGGGCAGCCGCCTCGCCGCCAGGGCCCCTCTGTGAGCAGCACAGATGATGGGCGTCTCTGAACGGCCCCCCTGACTTTGACTTTAGGGTCAGGAGTCAGAAACAAAGTGAAGGCATCAGTAAAATACATGTCAGAAACTAGCCCCGGCTGCTGTTATTTAGAACAGTGTGTACTGGAGAGCCGGAAGGAGAGGGCGGGATGGGTGGGTGAGGACAGGACCCCAGGGGAGGCGGCGGCCTGGGGAGCTGGGCCCAGGGGACAAGGCTGGAGGCCCAGAGAAGACACGTTCCTGTACAGCTTCGGCGCCTGGGGCTTAGCGCGGGTCCCTGGCTGGCTTTCCCCGCAGCCTGTCCTTCTCTTGCAGGCCTTCTTCCCATTTGCTCAGGCACCGAGTGGGGGAGGCGGTTGGTGGGAAGCCATTGCTCAAGGAATTAAGAGGTCCCTGAAGCCAGTGATGCCGCCCTGGGGGCTACACTGGCGGCCACTGACATGGAGGTGACAGGCATGTGCTTTCTCCTCAGAAACAGACTGAATTTGATCCGATCACTGTGAAGGACCGGCCAGTCTGGGATGCCGCCTGCCACGTGCAAGGGCCCAGCTCAACTCTCCGCTGCCACACCGGTTCCCGCCCCCGGCCTCTGGGTGCGCGCAGAGTTTCTGGAAGCCTCACAGACGGCCCAAATCCTGCCCTGTCACCTTCGGCCACCACCGAGCAAGAAGGGAGAGCAAAGTTCTCGTCAGTTTTTCCTCCCACAATGTAGGACCTTTCCTTTGCCTTCCAATGGATAAAGTAGTTCAGATTTCATATTCATAGATGCTGAATCAAGTTTTTAACATATAAGTCCGCCTATACACATTTAATGAAACATTGGATTGCAAACACTTTTATTACATAGAAATCTTGGTTAGCAAAGCAGTATGTTGTCTTTTACATCATCTCTAAAAATGCCTCGCGTCTGCTCTCTGGACATTACTGGGGCCACGGTCCCTCAGCTTCCAGGGTTGAGGAGGGGTTCTCAGCAGACTCAGACCACACCTAGGGCCCCGGGCCCCCTTTGTCTTCCCTGGGGAAGGCAGTACCTTTGAAGAACTCTCTGCTGCATTAAGTGGTGACCAGCAAAATGTCCTGCCAGGTTTGCCTTGCCTGATGGGCCAATCAGTGCAGAACCCGCTGTTACATTTAAAAAACGGACTGGTTATGTGATTAGTGTTTGATGCTTACCACTCTCTTAAGTTTCAGTAATTCTGCCTTTTCATGGAAGTTTGAATCATGGACCATTACTTTTCAGTTATCAGATCAACTAAAGAAACATTTGCTGTTAAGCCTCATGTACTGACCTATGTGCCCGCATTTTTAAAAAAATCTAGACACGTTTAGAGTGAGAGGGAAATTGAAAACAGAACCAGGGGTGAGGACAAAGTAAAAGGGCATGGCCGCCGCCTGCAGCGTGGGGCGCTGTGGTGTGCAGAGACCTTCATCCTGATGCCCTGCAAAGCCACCCGCGGTTTGGGAAGGAAGACCCACGCCTGCCCAGTAGCGAGAGTGAGGACTGATGGGGTTCAGGACTTTTGGGAATTATCAGAGCTGGGGGGGCCTTCAGCACCAAGACCTGCACGAGGGGGTTCCCGACACAACATCCAGGGCGCCCCGGCCCCCACACCAAGGGCCTCGCTGGCGTGCTGGGCACTCACCCCGGGGCTGCTGGGCGTAACTGGAGAGGGCTTTGTGAGGGTTTATAGTTTTAAAGGTCTATATTTATAGCTGCAAACTTGGAAATAAGATGTCTGTCTACTTTAGCCTAACCCTCGTACCCATTTTTTTTTTAACTGAGAAAAATCACAGGAAAAGGTGCCTTTGAAACATGGGGAGACTTGCTTACAAAGCTATACTGGATTGGAAATCTGTTTCCCCGGGGCTGGCTGCTTTGAGAGCAGCAGGTAAAGAGTGCGGCAGGCAAAGGGGGTCACCTGCAGCGCGCTCACCCAGACACCACCTGCTTCCCAAAGCACCAAGGCCTTGCGGGCACGCCCCCCCCAACCGGGCCACGCTGGTGTGCAGCAGGAGACCCCAGAGACAGGGCAGAAGCTTTGGGCAAGAGATACTGGTGCTGGGTTAGGCGCGGTCCTTCTCCCCGCCCCACCCCGGGAGCTGGACCGGGCAGGGCCCTTTACTGGCTCGCCTGAGAGGATGAAGATGCTGGTGGCAGCACCCTCCACCGTCCAGGAGAGGGCTTGTTTTGCAAATCAAAAGCCCTAGAATGGTGTTCTTCAGAAGTGTCTCTACCTGCCCTCTCTGTCCCATCAGGGACCACCTCTTCTGTATTTCAAACAGGTGACTTGTGAATACTTTGCAAGTTTTGCAGCCTGTTTTTGTATCCTTTCCATTTGGGGGTATGAAGTTATTTAGCCCCAAAGGCCTCTTTGCAGAATTGCCAAGAATGGCGAGTTATTGCCTTCCTTCAGAAAGACACCTGGAATTTTTCCTTTAGGGTTTATGTACATGCAGATTAATTTATATATTCACATATACAGTACAATACTCATTTGCTACTTTGCTCGTGAAACGGACATGGGATGCGTGCACTTGAGGAACTCCGTGGCACGAGGGTGTTGGGGAAAGGAGCCTGTGTTGAGGGAATGCCCGCTGGTACATTGGGCGCACCGGGTGGCCCAGCATAAGCCACCTCCAGTGTCTGAGACCCACCCTGTGGCATCACCCTGGAGCCCTGCACACTCTGACTGAAGGGGTGTGTCTTTGGAGAGGATTTTCTTGGTTATTTGTATTCACATTTCACTTACAACCCAAATGGCATGACAGAAAACATAAGCTACATGGTGGATAAGTTCTTGCAGGACAGAGAGAGTGACCCAACCTTGGAACCAGCTCAGCCTTAAAAGGTGGAAAAGTTGGCATGTTTTCTCACATTGCCGGCCCTGCCCACCGGCCAGGGCCATGCAGCGCATGACAAGACTGCCTGGTAAGGGGCCCAGCGAGTGGACAGACACACCCTCCTCCTGCCTGCGCTCTTGGACTGGAGTAAGTGGGGCGTGGGCGTTATGCTTGAAAGAACAAGATCAAATGTGATGGTCAGAGGTGGTCAGTCATTGAGCTGGTGCTTAAAGGGACATTGTAGGCACCCAGAGCTTTGGTGTTCGTGCAGAACCATGAACACAGCCAGCCGGGCACAGAGAGACAGCTACACTAGCCCAGAAATCGGGACTGTGCCAGGAGTGCCGTGGGGCGCGGGGACAGCTGCAGCCAGCCTTGTGGCCCTGTCACAAGACAGATCACTGCGGTTTTGCTCACCACCGAAGGGGCAGGTCCTGCGCTGTTGCTGCAGTAGGAGGCAGTGCGTGGGCTGCAGAGACGGGGCGGGGTGGGGGGAGTCTCTCTGGAAGAAGCAGCCTGTTCTGTGAGGGGATTCATCTCCCTGCTCGTCAGCATGCACTTGGGCTCGTCAGAGACAGTGAGAGTGTTTCCCTGTTTCCTGTTGCCTATGTCTTTTCCATGTTTGGTTTATTCTATTTTTTACATGGGGTTGTAGATCCCGGTTTAAGAGGTGAAACCAGATCATCATTCTGATCCGGGACACCTGGATTTATGATACACATGCTCTGCATTTTTGGATCACTCACTCACTTGACTGGAGGGCCCTTTTGATTTGGAAGGCGGTCCTTGTCGCCGGGGGCGGCAGGCTCCTGAGCTGGAACGCCTGAGTGCGACGGCGGCCAGCACTTTGGGCTCCAGCAGCGCTCGGACGTCAGCCCCTTTCTTGGCCGAGTGATGACAGCTGTCCAGGTGGACCAAAGCGCCTCCACCCAAGGCCTCCACACCCTGCTCTTCAGAAACCGAAGGTGGGAGCTCGGTGGTGCTGGGTGGAGCCTTGCAGGCTCCCCCAAGTACTAATGGCTGCCTACTGTCTGGCCGGGGAGGCTGTCCCACCAGGAAGTTTCAGTGTCCTCCAGGCTGAGATGGGGCTGTTGTGAGTTTTATTCTGCTTGGTCAGTGGTCCAAGGACAGGCCCTGTGTCACCTTCCTCTGCCTCTGGGACATCCGCGCCAGGCTGCCTTCCGCTCAGGACAGGCCTCGGCCTTTCTGGTTGGGTGCTCGTGTTTCTCTGCACATCCTCTCCCCCAGCTCCCCGCCTGTGCTGCCCTCTTTGGGCCCCGTTGCCTCGTCTTCCTGTTTTCTTCTCGGACCAAAATTTGAGGGTTGGAGCAGCTTTGTCAGCTCAAGCATCACAGCCCGGGTGGACAAAGGCACTTTGCAGGAGAGGAGAGCCAGCCAGGAAGAAAATCCTAGATAAAACCTAACCTGGAGTTTGGGCTTTTCCTCAAGTTTTTCCTTTTTTCTTTGCTCAGAGTTTACCTGGGGCACATTTTCAGTTTGACTCAGCTTTTGCGTGAAGTTTCAATGTTCACGAATCCCGCAGATTTGCAAGGCCCAGTTGTATGCCGGGGAAGAATACCCTCTAACGTGAAGGCCTGCATAGCAGCAGCCTGCTCGCGCCAGGACAACGAGCTCTGTTCTCGTCCCAGGCTGGGGTTCTCCCTCTGGGGTCCCCAGGCGGCTCCCGTTGCTGCCTTTCCCTCGGAGCACAGGCCTTCCCCGCCTTCCCAGTCACCCTGGCGGCCTCTCCGTGGGGCTTGGGGAACACCTGGCCTCAGTAAAGCTCCAGCACCCAAGAGGGGACGTGGAGCCCAAACCTCCTGAGCAGCCCCTCCTCAAACCTGGCTTCGGTCTGAGCTGCCCGCCATGCTCTTTCCTCTGTCCCATTTATGGCAGCCAACCCATGCGACGGAAACCAGGGCCGAGGAGGCTGGGCGCGGCCTCTCAGCAAAGCGGTGTATTTGGATTAGGGCCAAGGGACTGGAGGCAAGTGGCTGCCCTGGGTGCTGCTTGGCGTGCGCCCAGCTCAGTGGTAAGGCCAGTGCCAGGTCACACAGGGAAGGGGCGGGGCTGAGCCCAGTTCTACCCGAGTTGACCCAGCATCTGCATGTAGTTGTGAGGAGCACAATGTTAGACCCCAGTCTGCTTTTCTGGTTCCTTCGTCTTGAGTTCACTTGTCAAGACTGGCTGTTCTGTGACCTGCCTGCACATCTGGCCTCTCCTTTGAATGGGGCCCTACTCCTTCACCAGAATGGAGACACACGACAGCCCTGGCCCAATAGGAATCAAGAATCCTACCTGCCCCAAAATCCGGAGGGGGCGGAAGCGCCACAGTCTGGGGCGACTAGACAGGCCCTGGTTACCACATGGACAAGGACAGGGCAAGCTCCTGTGGCCTTGAGTTTTTCAAGTCAGATCAGGACTGCAAGGGATTCACCAAGTAGCTATGGTTGCTGCTCTGCTGCTGCGCAGGCCGGAGCCGGCCCCATGGGGGCGACAGGAGCCCAGTGGGCAGGCCATCTGATGGGGGCTGCGGTTACCTCCTTTTCTGGCTGCTTCGTGTCTCTCCCGCTGTCCACTCGGAGCAAGTGGCAAGCCAGGGTCCCTGAGAGGAGTCGGAGTGTTTACCTGCCATTAGTGCCTCTTTCTTCAGGAGAGCGGCTCTGTTGCGTGCATGTGCGCACGCGAGCCCTTGAGTGTATTCATGAGTAGCTTGTCTTAGCTAATGCTTTATAACTCCTTTTTCCTTCCATGACAAATGGAGGATTGAAAAGCACTCAGTGTGACTAGAGCTGGAGGTAAAATGTCTAGGATGATAAAAGCTGTCTGTCACTGAATATAAAAAGCTACAAGCGCTTGGTCTTTC